ATTGAAGTGAGACTTTTCGGCCAGTTAGATGGTAGAACTGCTCACTTTGTGTTCGACAGTTTTATTCGACCCCGTTTAGAGTATGGGAACACTTCATTTCTATCTGAATTTTGTGCTGATGATGTTGTTCAAAAGAACGATGAAAGCTCCACGACCAAACCATCCAGCTCAGAGAACAAAACTACACCAAAGTCATAATGTTTCCTCCCTCACTCTAAAAGGATGAGGGTACATTATGATGTATCCAACAGTGGGCCAAGAAATCAGTTCGGGGACCCAAACTCAACTCTTATGAAGAACCCCTCAGATAATTTAATTTGAAGCATTTAAAAAACTTCCAGACATCCCCTTAAATACCTATTTGAGCTCTGTTCCAACACAATTCTTGTGAGTAACATACAGATACTGGAAACAAATCATAGCAAAACAGACTGCAGACGCAACTTCTACTCCCTAAGAGTAGTCAGATGTTGAAATTCGATGTCGGCTAAGCTAATGCAAGAGATTTCACAGGAGTCCTGCAAGAGGAAACATGACATATTCTTAGGGACCAAGGACAGTATCTTACTGTAGTTTACTGATATTTTCCTCTTTTATCGCTGAATATATTTAAGCTCCTACCAGAAGACGTCAGTGATTCCCTGCCATTAGATATAGAAACACACTAAACTAAAGCGTATTCTATTTCTATATGAACTATTTGAAGGGTTGTTAAAGTTATCATTATTACAACATTACAACATCATCATTACAACAGACTCAGCAAGTCAGACCAAAAGTGGGTATGTGTCACGTGCAACACGGACGCAGTAGTCTTGCTGAGTAACATCATTGTCCTACTGACAGGTCTTCGGAACAAGCTGTCAGTTAACTTGGAATACGACAGTAAAAAAACCGATATACAAACAAGAGCGCGCAACGGATTCGAAAATAGGGATGTCGATAGGTATACCATCGATGGAGCATCCATCAACACTAATGACGACGTGTCGAGGCTCAGTACCATCATTACGTCGACGGTTCTAGACTCCCTAGGCAAACTCGGGTCTCCCAGCTCAGGGTCCCTGAACACAACAGTGGTTCCCAAAAACCCTGCAGGTGATTCGACCCACGTTAAGAGAGCCCAAAAGAACCAGGCATCACCGCCTAAGCCGAGCAACCCAAGTGTTGCTGCACGGAAAATAACTGGTGATTTAGTCGCACAGTCTACCCCCAAGACTGTTCGTCCGGTCAATAAAGAGCCCAAGATTCATAAACGCACACTGACCTCCAAACAACAAGTTATTAAACCTGAACCCATCGTGAAACCTGGTAAATTAACAACAGTTCGTGACGATTCTCTCATTATCATGAACCTCGTCGACAATCCTAACCTTCCTCTCAGTCTGCAGGATAAAAACGACAGGATGCTGTGGGGTGAATTGAGCAAGAAGCTCGAACTTCCTAGAATAGAGCCTTTGACGGTCACCCGGCTCACTCGAGGAAAGGTTTCTAAGCATCTAAATCACCCGAGGCTTCTCCGAGTAACACTTAAGAATGCTACCGACGTAGAGGACATCTTGCTAGCAAGTCACTTACTGAAATCAGATGGTAACGTAAGAATATTGCCCGACATACCGTACTCTGAGCGCAATATCATACGAAACGTCCCTAAAGAATCTCGCGAGAAGTTTTTCCGCGGAAGAAACATAATTGTCCAAGGTATACCGGAAAATGCAGACCCTACTCAATCAAATTCTGACATCAGGGAATGGAAATTCATCAAACAGTCCTTGAGGCTCAAACACATACTGACTCAGCATGTGACCCCTTCTAATGAAGATAACCTTCCCATCTTCCCACATGGCGGCTGCAGTTCTGGAAGCATTTCGTGCTAATAGACGTCGATTGCCACCTGGAATCCACATGCACCCGGATAGGCCATACGAAGTCAGGACCAAGAACAAAGGCAAGTTGGAGCTGACCATTCCACTTGTGGACTGTCTAAATGATAAAAAAACGTGTAAAGGACAGGGCCTACCACCTCGGAAAACCTCATATAGGTGGGCTACCTGTCCATTCACATAAGGTTCATACAGAAAAACAGGACGAAGCTCACGCGTTCCAAATTGAAAGCATAAACTGCTTATATATGAACGCCGCGAGTCTACCAAACAAACTGGATGAACTACGTGAACTTAGCAACGCTAACAAGGCCCATCTGATAGGAATATCTGAAACCTGGATATCTTCTCAGTTCTCGAACCAAGAGTTAGCATTACCTGGGATGACTTTGTTCCGCAACGACAGAAAAATAGGAATTGGGGGCGGAGTAGCCATATACATAAGCTCTTGCTTGGAGGTGCACCAGGTTCACAACCTCGAGTTTAACAATCTTGAGGAATCCATATGGTGCTCTGTAAGGTTGTCAAGTACTTCCAGGTGTCTAGTCGGAGTCATTTACAGGAAGCCAACTGCCGACACCGAGTACGATAGTCGTATGCTGGAAGGACTATCCCGCCCTATCCGTCTCGGTTTCACACACATCCTGATTCTAGGGGACTTTAATCTCCCTAGAGTCAACTTCGCGGAACACACGTACACTGGAGGCGACAACTCAACTGAAGCTCGGTTCTTCAACCTCATCGATAACTTGGGCTTATACGAAAATGTGAGGTCGGCAACTCGTTGGAGAAACAGTCAGACACCATCGCGCTTAGACTGTGTATTCACTAACGAAGAATTCCTAGTCGACAACCTCTCAATCCTGGCTCCTCTGGGCAAGAGCGATCATGTCGTCATAGCCTTCAGTTTTGTCACCAAAACTAAGCTAAGGTATCCCAACAATAATTTGCGTTGGAATTTTAAACGGCTGAATGTGCCAGCTCTACATGACTATCTACAACAGGTGGTTTGGGATGTTCACCCTCAACTCGATGTGGATGGTCACTGGGACTTCTTACTGCACACGCTCTTATGTGCTACAGACCATTCAGTTCCTCAAACGGTTCCCAAAAGCTTCAAGCCACCTACAGTAATCAAGAACCGTACCCTTCGCCTGCTAAGCCGCAAAAGACACTGTTGGGCGGAATACAAACGAACTGATAACGACGGAGCGTATAGACAATATAAACATATCAGGAACATATGCACGAAGGCTATAAGAGAAGACAGGCTTCATTACCAGACAAAGCTTATGGACAAATTTGCCCCTAACCCTAGAAGCCTATTCCGTTATGCAGCCTCTCTTCGTCAAGCCAAAACAGGAGTTTCTCAACTGCTAGGTCTTAACGGCCCGACCAACAACGATGGCGACGCCGCTAACCTTCTGGCGGCACATTACTCTCAAACATTTCAACCGGCTGACATCAACTTTATTGACGACAGTTTCATCTGCAATTCCACAGGACTCTCCGAAGTGAACCTAAGCGCTGACTTGGTGTTCCGTAAATTGCAGCACTTAAGACTAGATACTTCTCCTGGCCCGGATATGGTTCACCCTGCCATACTGAGGGAGGCAGCCTCAATCCTGGCAACGCCGCTTAGCGTGATGTTTCCACACTCGCTAAGCCAAGACAAATTACCGGAAAATTGGAAGTTGGCTCTCATCACACCAATTTTCAAAGGTGGTCGACGCAATGAACCTTCAAGTTATCGGCCGGTGGCTCTTCTGTCATTACCTTCAAAACTCATGGAGTCCCTGATATGCGACGGTTTAAACGACTATCTACTGTCCTTAAATTTCTTCTCACCCCAACAGCATGGTTTCAGAAAGGGTTACTCTTGTATAACCAACCTGCTGACTGCGGTGGACAGATGGACAAGCATCCTCGATCGCAAGGGAAAGGTTGATGTCATTTACCTTGATTTCTCAAAAGCTTTTGATAAGGTTAACCACTTGTGTCTTATCAACAAGCTCAAACGACTAGGCATCAAACCACCTCTAATCGACTGGTTTACTTCATACCTAAAAAATCGACACTTTAAGGTTAGGGTTAATTTCACTTTATCTCAGGCTATGGAATGTCCTAGTGGGGTCCCCCAGGACTCAGTACTAGGGCCTCTTCTCTTCTTGATCTACATAAATGATCTTCCTCAACAGTTAACGTCAGACTTATTACTTTTTGCCGACGACGTGAAACTTTGGAGAGAGATACGCAACCAAGACGATACACAGGCACTTCAGGAGGATCTGACGCGACTTCAAAGTTGGGCAGACGATAACGGACTTATTTTTAACACTTCAAAGTGTAAAGTAGTCCATCTGCGACATGTCGCAAACTACAGATACAACTTAGGAAACTCCTCTCTAGTAGTGTCCCAAGTCGAAAAAGATTTAGGAGTCCTGGTGCCCCATGACTTAAAGTCTTACGCTAACTGTGACAAAAATGCATTCCGAGCAAACCTTGCACTGGTAACGTTGAGGCGCATTTTTGGCCAGTTTGACGGAAGAACTTTCCACACAATCTTCAATAGTTTCATCCGTCCCCATTTAGAGTACGGAAACATAGTACTTCCCCCTCACTCCAAAAGGACAAGGTCACTTTGGAGCGTATCCAACGTCGAGCCACGAAATCAGTTCGAGGACTCAAGTCTAAGCCTTACGAAGAACGCCTCCGTTCACTAGACCTTTACCCACTAGAATATAGGCGTCTTAGAGGTGATTTATTAATGGCTTATAGTATTCTTAACACTTCTGGACGTCCTCTTAAACACACAGAAACTGGAAACACAACATAGCAAGACGGAATGTAGACACAACTTCTACTCCTTAAGAGTTGTCAAAAGCTGGAATTCGCTGCCGGCCAAGCTAGTTCAGGCGACTTCTCAGGAGTCCTTCAAGAGGCAACTTGACCTATTCTTAAGGACCAAGGACAGCATCACACTATGATTTACCAATTTCTTTTCCTCTTTTATTGTTAACATACCTAGGTTCCTGCCTGGAGGATTTCGTGATCCCCTGCTACTAGACACGGAAGCCTGTTACGCGAAAGCTTCTTCTATTCTGTCCACAACCATTTGAACCATTTGAATATTGGCGCACAAATCAACATTAATTGTCTGGCGGGTTGGTCGCTTGTTGACTTTTGTGGATGATTGAACCATATTCTTCTATTTATGATCCCAAGATTGTCGTAATCTGAGGCTTATGTCTATGTTGACTGATTGTTATTGTTTTCCGTAGTGAGTGTAATTGCATTGCTTGCACATCCGAAGTCGTTGACACACGTTTTCCTATGTTCTCTGCAGCCCACCTCAATCTCCCTTCTACCAATTCCCCGAATTCTCAAAACATATTGTAGCTAGACGCAAACCTTCACAATTTTCAATAGTTTTTAAGGGTGCGTGTTCACGTGATTTTATCTTGCTAATGGTCAGTATATCAGTATAATTCCAGGCTAGCCTAAATTAATGCTCATCTACCCTGTCTCTGTAGAAAAGTGGTGATTTTATTTTAAGAAGTCTTAATTTAGAACTCACAGTAAGTGACTTCGAATATGATGATGCCGATATGCTACGCCTAAGTGCTTAGCTAAATCCACGAGTGCGCAAATATACGTACAGTTGGTCGAAACAACACATTTAACAGTTTTTAGTTAAGCTGCGTCGAAGTTATTCAGTCGAATTGCTATCCGGAAAGCCGCTCATTTGTAACTACAAGTGTTCACGAATTATAACTCAACAGGGTTACTTTGAAAGTACTCCAATTGCTGTACATGTAACAGTGTAGTGTGCTTCATTAATTATCACAATAATGTTTTCAGCAAATATATTTCAGTAGCTTGGTGTGGAAGCAGTTATAGTGTAATTGTAGCACGTCATGTGGCGGTTTTCAAAGATGTCCCAATATCCCTATTTTAGGGGAATTTCGGGGGTTTTGTGCCATTTCCCCAAATTTTTCTGTAGCAGCTTCTCCAAACTTTCCCCAAAACGGACAACATTCCAAAATAGGGAGCTTTGCGTGTTTCATCCTAATTAGCCACTTGTCAGTCAAGATCTTAAAAGAGAAATACAAGGTATTCCATCGCACTCCTCGTGCTTTCATGATTTCAGCTTCAAACAATACCTTGCTTATGATTAGAAATGCAGTAGTACACTACTACAGAACTGAGTCAGCTGCTGAATGAGGGGAACGTAAGTTTCAGTAATTTATGAACGTGACTCAAAGCCAATAAAATGTAGGTCTAAATCCCGTTCCCATTTCTTCATTTTCAGTTGTCTAGCACTACCCTTAAAGCTCATACAATCTTAGTAGATCAAAACATTTCCCGTGGTTAAGCTCCAATTTGTATGATATAGTCATGGAGTAAGGTTTTACGGCATTAGATGGATAAAAGTTGTATGGATTAAGTGGTTTTCTATGTCCATATCTTCTAAATAAGTCACATTCACCTTGAATTAATAGTTTGTCTTGTACATTATGTAGATGGATCCAGCTCAAGAACCTAACTCAGGGATACATACAAATAATGTCCAGGTAAGCTTACCATGCGTTTTCTGTTAAGTATTAATTAATGCTGATCTTTGACTTAACGTGCTATTAACTATTTTTTCAATTTAGCGCAACGTTCTGGTCCCGATTAGTTCGAAACCTGAGTGTCACGTGTGTTTCAATTTTCAGTCCAGAACTTGCGTGACTAATTTAGACCAATTATTATGGAAGCGAACAAATCAAAATATATCATCTCATGAAGCCGCAAATAGTTTTGCAATTTAATCGAAGTAAACCAAATAAATTCTTAAGATGATCGAGGTACACTTGTGTATAAAGGGTTGAGAGTTCTTCGATTAGCTAAATGGGTTTTGCGGAGTCCGTGTGAATCGTTAGGTTGTTTTTGTCATACAGGGTATCCCAAAAAGCCTCAGCACTAGACATGTTTCGTCCTAGTATGGTATCGCTCGGTAGTGTTCACCCCCAATTTGCTCGTTGGGTGATAGTCCATTAATTAGTTTCAACAAGAGCAGTCATAAAATTAACTCATCCTCAGAGTGCTTTGTTGAGCCCATATATTAGTTTGTGGGATCCACGTATTTCAGTGTTAGTATGTAAGGAAGTTTATCTGTCCATTAAACAAATAGGTTTGATAAAATACTGGGTTTCGTAACAACAGCCTCGCGGCTCTTTCTTGAGAATAAACCCGTTTATCTCTTAACAAGTGTATCTTCCTCAAAGCTTGGTAATTTCGTCTGAATTTTGTCGAAGGAAGTCAATGAAACGCGTTCATTTGAGTTTTTATTAGAAGCTAAATGCCCATTGAAACAATGATGCAATTTATAAAATGGATCTGGGTTCGGATCCAACCAATGACTTGTTTATCCTGCATTCTAATTGAATTCTGGACCATTCTGTTGATTAATATTTTTGCTATTTTTTTGTAGTTTTACATTTCTTGTCCCAGAAGTTTGAAATGTTTTCTAAGTCACGGATTAAAGATTCATGTATCTGACCTTGAGTAGTAATTTTTAGTGTAATGTAATTCTCATCCCAGTTACAGATTCACGTATTTGCTTGGATTGTAAAGGCTAGCAATTCTACGCGGCAACTGAAACTGAAGTATTTGGATGAAGTTTTCACCTGCTACTAAGTATTTCATGTAGCTGAAAACGTCATACTTAAACATGAGCTTGATAATTACGAGATAACATTAGCTGACACTATTGGGTCGTTAATGTTCCAGTGTCAGTTCTTGTCTTGTCTTTTGTCGTTTCTACCTACGATTAAAAGCTCCAATAGGTTTAACCTAAAGCGAGTTTCCGCTTTTACTGTAATAGAAGTGTAGAATATCGAAAGCTAGATCATGTTTTTGGTATTGTAGATCATATATATTACGATATAGATATGCTGCTGTAACTTTGTTAGCCATTACTGCAATCGCATCACCCCTCATACACATTTTGTACTTATGAATAATCGTCCAGCTGTTTCTGTTTCATTTTTAGGGAGCACTTCGACAGCTTGATTTGTTGGTCGAAAAGGCGGAGCTCTATGCTCAGGTGAAACTTATTGGTTCTGGAACAAAAGATCTGTCTAGTCCATCAAGAATTAAACAAGAGCAGCCCATTAGTTCTCCTACTTCCTACTCTTTTGGAGAGTAAGTTGTACTATTATTATCCGAAGTATTGTTTATTCAGCCATCGACATCGTCGTACTGAAAAAGAAGAAGATGAAGAACTATTGACCGAAACTAAGCATAGTTCATCTGGTATTCAGCGTTTCGAAGCTTCTCCGTGGTGTAAGTAATAATTTATTACCCATATTTTCTACATTTTAGACGTAAAGGGAGGAGAGATGCGTGACTATCAAATCCGTGGTCTAAATTGGATGATTCAGCTCCATCATAGTAGTATCAATGGAATTCTAGCCGATGAGATGGGATTAGGGAAAACTTTACAAACAATATCATTACTTGGTTATATAAAACACTGTCGACACAAACATGGGCCACATATGGTAATTGTGCCTAAATCTACGCTTTCCAACTGGATGAATGAATTTGCTCGTTGGGTTCCTTCTTTGCGCACAGTTTCATTAATTGGAAACCATGAAGAAAGGGTAAATACCACTATTTCTGAGTTACTTGTTTTTCTTGTTTCTAGAGTCAAAAAATACAAGAGGAGATCTTGAAAAAGGAATGGGATGTTATTGTCACAAGTTACGAAATGTGTATTAAAGAGAAGGCGGTCCTGAAAAAATTTCACTTTATATATTTAATAATAGATGAAGCCCACCGAATTAAAAATGAAAAGTCGAAATTGTCAGAAATTGTCCGGGATTTTCGCTCTCAAAACCGTCTCTTGATTACCGGTACACCTTTGCAAAATAATTTACATGAATTATGGGCTTTATTAAATTTCCTAATGCCGGATTTGTTTTCTTCATCTGAAATGTTTGATGATATGTTCAAAACGGGTAATGATCAAGAAGAGAGTTTAGTTCAACGTCTACATGCAGTTTTAAAACCATTTTTGTTAAGACGAATTAAAGCTGATGTGGAGAAACGTTTACCACCAAAAAAGGAGTGCAAGATTTATATTGGTCTTAGTAAAATGCAACGTGATTTGTACACCAAGATTTTAATGAAAGATATTGATGTGGTGAACTCTGTAGGGAATAAAGTGGATCGTCTTCGCCTACTAAATATTCTCATGCAACTTCGTAAATGCTGTAACCATCCTTATTTATTCGATGGACTAGAGCCAGGCCCTCCGTATACAACGGATCGTCATCTTGTTGATAATTGTGGAAAGCTGATGTTACTGGATAAACTGTTGCCGAAACTTAAAGAACAAGGATCACGAGTCCTTTTATTTTGTCAAATGACGCGAATGATGGACATTCTTGAAGACTATTGTTTGTGGCGCGGCCATGAGTACTTTAGACTAGACGGATCCACACCTCATGAAGAACGCCAGGTCAGTATTTCACCTCACTAACAGTAAGAAATTTTTTTATCGTCAGCTTGTAAAATAAATATCATGGTTTTTAGACATCTAAGATTTAATTTATGGTTAGGAAACAACCTCTAAGGATAAAATATATACGAAAGGTACTCATATTCGTTCGTAAATGTCTCTTAAGCTTCATTCGCACATAGTGGAATCACGAGATAACTAATGTTGAGGGTTGGCTAAGACATTTGTTTCTCATACCTAGCCACTGCTTACCTTAGCGTACAGTGCTGCATGACATAGGAGCACATCAAAGGAAATCCGAGGGGACAGAATTGGACGGAGTATCGTTTCATGAAGCCACAGACTTTTGGTCATAGTAGTGTTGGTAGGTGTAGAATCCCTAGTTCGACCCCACCTGGTTATCATAACCAATGTTTAGGGTCATTGGTTAGCATGACAAAGATATTCATTTTCCATCTTCATACAACTCTAAGGTTTCACCGTTGTGTCGTACTTTGTGCTTTCTAACTCAATTTCTACTTTAGGATACATTTTCACTGCTGAATCCCTAAAATCTGGCTGGTTTTCGTTCAGACTGTAAATGTATTGACCATTTCTCCATCTCACCAGAATCGTTGAGTATTTTCACATTTTTTTTACCTGTTTTCCATGTTAATGTGTTTAACTTAAAGTGTGCTGCTAACGTCCTTGACAGGAACCACTTACGCCATAGTTTACATGTCCTTGGTGGCTTTTCAGCCTAGTAAAACATTCTTACTGTGGTTTTTCACTACCAGTCAGGTAACAAAATGATAAATTTTTCCTGTTCCTTAAGTTCGGTTCATATATGTGTATCCATCGATGTTATCAACTATGCCACTGTCTGGATGCGCTTGATTACTTTCGATATTTGGATCCAATAACAAATGTCACAAGACAGTTTTACTAGCCATTATAAGGAAATGATCAGTCTTATTACTAACATATGGTCTTGTTATTATTAAGTACTCTTGAAATAAGTCTGTGAGGACTCATTATCTTTGAAGTCTCGAACATTTCATCCTTATTTCGAGACTATCGTTTACATTCCGATCCCCATAGTTTTGACTCCGTATGTGTATAACTATGAAAACCTACATTTAATAATATATTTCTTTTTGCATATTTTGTCACCTCAAATTCTAATTTAGATTTCAATTGATGAATACAATCGTCCAGGTTCCACCAAGTTTCTTTTCATGCTTTCTACAAGGGCTGGTGGTTTGGGTATCAATTTGGCCACAGCCGACGTAGTTATCATCTATGACTCAGACTGGAATCCTCAAGTTGACCTTCAGGCCATGGATAGAGCACATCGTATCGGACAAACCAAAACTGTACGCGTTTTTCGACTAATTACAGAACATACAGTTGAGGAACGTATTATTATGCGTGCTGAGATGAAGCTCAAATTGGATAACTTGGTTATTCAACAAGGTGATCTATAAATATGTAACCAACCGTTTTAGACTGTATGACTATGTACCATTAAAGATGGACTTACTGTCACTCCAGATTATGTTACAGTCACTTACAATAGTTACTGAAATTCCAATCAATTATGTATCGTGCTGAAATCATCATATCTAATGCTTACCGCAGTCTCGTACCTAATCGCTGTGAGACCTGTAGGCGGTATAAATCCTACATAAGTCGGTGTCCCAGATCACGGTCCATACATTTTCGAATCCGAAATTTACCTGACTATTTCCAAAATAAAGTATACCTAGCAGATTTAAAATAATAACAGTTAGTAGTTCAAAATGCCTAAGCACTTTTGTGTATAATGACACCACTATTTAGCACTAAGAAATAATACAGATGGTCTTGAACAAAATAGCCGACTACTGATTCATGTAGGTACACTTACGGATTTTAATAGGTTTGTTTGTTACGTTCCTTTAAAATATAAGATCTGTTCAGTACATTCGTATTTGAAATGTCAGTATTAATTGAATACTGAGTACTACTTCAGTGAAACTTTGTAGGTCAGGTTAATTCTTTCTTCTCACAATATGGACCCTAATTAGCAGTGATCAAATGATTCTTTTCTGACTTAAACATCTGTCATTGTTAGGGGATCTGTTGATCTATGCGTGTTAGGTTCTCGATGTACATATGAATATCCATGGTCTTAAAAGTACGTTGCGTATCAAAAGCCGTAACTTTTAATCATGAACCTAACCATTTCTTGCCAATAATGACTAGTTTATTCGTATTTGTCAGGTAAATTTTAAATTCAGTAACTTACGATCTTTATCATCCCGTCAATTTGACGAGATCGATATTACTTGACAATCAAGATGAAGCTTGCAAAATGTGGCAACTAGTGTCTAATTTCGTTTTTGAATAGCAGACGGATATAATTATAAGCTCTGAGTATGACTTCGAAAATAATAATCCATATCTATCTTTTGTGGTTTGAAAGACTATTATGAAGCTAAGCACCACCGTCAGTCATATATTCTTTTGTTTATAAACTGATATTCTCAACATTTTTCACGTTTTTAACCTACAGTCTTGACAATTTGGTAGCCAATTGCAGGTTTATTCACTGATCCGTTCTACAAAAGCACAGTTTGGTTAGTATTATTATATTACAGCATCAACAGTAATCGACTTGGATTTAAATTGAGAAATTCACCGTATAACAATCGGTGACCCAAATCATTAAACCACAACTCCAATACGATTTTGTTAACTTTACTTCAAACTCTTTTCTCTATCGAAGGTCAGAATTGTCAACTAGAATATACATAAACACCAATCCTTTTAAAATTATACGTTACAGCACCCTATTTGTTAATGGAAATCTAATTTTTAATTTTGCTTATCATAGTTTGTTGTTCACAAACTATCGTGTGAAATACTTCTTCAAACCCGTTTTCCTGTTCTTGTGTATTTCCAGGTCGTCTTGTTGAGCAAAAATCAAACCAACTTCAAAAGGGTGATGTTTTAGATATGATCAGACATGGTGCCAATTACATTTTCCGTAGCAAAGATAGTGATTTCAAAGACGAGGATATTGATATTATCTTAGCTCGAGGTGAACAAAAGACTGCTGAAATGAATGAAAAACTGGCTCAATTGGGAGAATCTAATTTAAGGTCTTTAAAATTCGATACGGCAGATGAAAATGGTGCACCAACATCAGCATATATATTCGAGGGGGAAGATTATCGAGAAAAACAATGTCGCACTTCCTTATTAGATGTATGCGATTTTAATGGTATAGTTTAGATGAATTCAGAGAAATTTATTTTTACTGTTTTCTCTTTGTAACTGTCATTCGAGTCGTTTGTATTTACTGATGATGTGTATTTGTAAATCATTACTGTTCACCATTTGTGGTTTGTGTATTCTAATTTAATAAATATTCTATTTCTAATAGGGTTGGATAGAACCTCCGAAACGCGAACGCAAAGCAAATTATGCGGTTGACGCATACTTTCGGGAAGCGCTTCGTGTCTCTGAACCTAAAGCACCGAAACCACCTCGACCACCAAAGCAACCAAATGTGCAAGATTTCCAGTTTTTCCCCCCTAGACTTTTTGAGCTTTTAGATAAAGAAATATATGCATTCAGGTTGGTCTAGTTTTCTTAGGTTTAATAATTAATCAAAACCATGTTTTTCTCTATTTTTGAGCCGAAATTACAAAAGCTTGAATAAAAGTGTAAATACAAACAGAAGGAATAGTGTGTAGTTTCGAAAGATTATTATGCATCATTTTATGTACATCTAAATTTTTTTACCAATAGTTGTACATAGACATGGTTGTTTATGTCGCCAAAGATCTTGTGGCTAATTTCAGAAACATTTGCAAAATTAATAAATCCTCAGATAGTAATCGCAGCAGAGGGTGTGGGTACCAAAAAATGAGGACAGTCTTATTTATCTCCTACCGAGAGATTCACTTACGGGCCTATAATACTTTAATGATACAGCCCTGTTTGATGAGGACGCTGACAAATTGTCTTCTGATAACCTCGATCAACAATCCATGCATGTCCGAGATGCGTTTATCCTCCTCCTCCTAATGAGAAGTGTTTCTTAGGGACTGGTTTATGTCACCGTCTAGATTGACCATAGGGAGTGAAGTAATTGAGCACGTCGACTGTTTTATTCACCTTGAAACTCTTATCAACCGTGCTAGGTTGATGCTTAACGAAATCTCAACCCAAATTCCGAAAGTTCACTTGACTTTTATCAATTTGCGTCACACGGATATCCGTATCTTGACGAAGAGAGGAGTATATTCCGCAGTAGTTTTCTGTTCTACTGGATGACTATATTACGTGATCTTTAAGTGTAGAGTTACTAGTATTTGATTATAGATGCGTTCTTAGCGCACATCGGAACCACTGAAAGTGATCAGTGTTGAGGTTAGATGTAGAGTACTAGTCAAATGTATTAAACAGGTTAATAAAATTAAGAATCGTCAGCGATTAAAGTGGTTTTTAAATCTATCTATCTATCTAACAAGCTCTTACCTCGACGTGCCATGTTACCTTGAGTAGAAACATGTTAGGAAAAACTAAAACGTGGCATCAGTCTATTAAGTCAGTAAATTAGCTAATGTTGAAATATAATTGAGCTCGTTTATATGATCTGACTGTTCGTTAAGTGTGTAAAAATATTGACTAATTCACATTTCCAATGTAGTGTAGGGTTAACAGTTTTAAACGTCGAATATCACCTACTGGAATGACCAAACTACTGGATTCATAAAAACAACTAAGGAATGGCTTTTTAACAACTAACTAATTGAATCAAAAAGGTATGTGAAAAAGAAAATTACTTTATATTAATTATGCTTAGACAATTCAGTATAAATTTGTTGGGGTATCACTGTTCTTTATTTCTTGTTTGGCTGTAGAAAGAGTATTGGTTATAAGGTTCCTCGTAACCCAGATGCTGGGCCAGATGGTGAGCGTGATCGTCTGGATGAACAAGCTAGAATAGATGAAGCTGAACCATTAACTGAGGAGGAACTTGCCGAGAAGGAAGAGCTTTTAACACAAGTAAATGAATAAATGATATAATATTGCTCATTACTATTTGGCTTTCTCAAATCCTTATTATTTAGCTATGATCTCTTCCAAATAAATAATCGTATGTTTGTCTTTTTAGGGTTTCACAAACTGGTCGAAACGTGATTTTCAACAGTTCATCAAAGCCAACGAAAAACACGGTCGTGATGATTTAGAAGCAATTTCAGTAGATGTAGAAGGTAAAACTCCAGATGAGGTTAAACGGTATGCCCGTGTTTTTTGGACAAGATGTAACGAGTTGCAAGATGTCGATAAGCATATGGCTCAGGTAATTGTCAATTTATATCGATACTAATTCCTGTTGATGATTTGAAAGACATTGTCTAGCGTGAATGTCTATATATTATGATTAGTGACTACATAAATACGGTTATTGGAAGGTAATCAGTCATAATAATTTCACCCGGACACTTCCGTATTAATAAAAGCTAAGTTTAAATGCTGTGTTTGCTAAAATCACATATCGTCAGACGTGATTGTTTACACCTCCATTGATATATATAGGGTCTATTACCACGTAAATTTTCAGGTGCCAATCAATTAAGTCCTATTTTTCAATTCCACATGTTATCACAATAAAGCAGTAATTCATTTCCTATTCTGAAACTTTATCCTGTTAAACTAACGTATATATGTCTTCATCGTGAAGTTTGTCAAAAGTATTCTTATCTCACTTTTTTGTTTGCTCATCAGATTGAGCGTGGTGAGGCGAAAATCCAAAGAAGAGCTGCTGTAAAACGTGCTCTTGATCTAAAGATGGCCCGATATCGAGCGCCGTTTCACCAACTTCGGATACAATATGGAACAAATAAAGGGAAGAACTATGTTGAGGAGGAAGATCGTTTCTTAATCTGCATGCTTCATAAACTTGGTTTCGATCGTGACAATGTATATGATGACTTACGTCTTGCAGTTCGCTTGGCCCCACAGTTTCGATTTGATTGGTTTTTGCGATCTCGCACAGCAATGGTGAGTAGTGTCAAGTAATCGCCGGTGATTGTTTATGCTTGGTGGAGTTTTGAATTTATCTATCGACTTTTCACTTCGTATACAGGAAACTTGCTATAAATAGGCATTTCAAGATAGTTTTACATCAGTATTGCAGTCGCTATTTTCTTACTTGTTCAAGTCAGCTGTTCACTTTTCTATTTCAGGAACTACAAAGACGTTGCAGTACTCTTATTACTTTGATTGAGAGAGAAATATGTGACTTAGAAGACCGAACAAAACAGCGTAGTGGAGCAGGCGCGAATAATTTACCACTCACTCCTGCAAATTCCGGACCATCTAACACATCCACAGTATCCAACCAAAAGCGGAAGTCAACTGCAGCTGGTGGGATTAACTCGGATTCAACTGCAGAAATTTCCGGAAACGCAAAGAAAAAGAAGGTCACTGCTTAAATAACAGTGATTTGTAAATGTCTCTGTCTTATACTCTTGTTGTAGGCCTCTTGCATTTGATTTTATGTACTCAATTCCTTTGATTTCATACTGGTGTATTGTTTACCAAATCTTACATAAATAAAGATTTGTAATTAAATTTACTCCTTGCCAAATATTTTCATTTGGTATCTATAATAATCTGAAGTGTAACAACGTTCAACAATAAGAATATTTTAGTGTACACTAAAGCATTAACTCGCTTCACATATTTTTGATTTCTACTAAATTGTCTTATACATTTAAATTCATATAATTAATGATCTACCTAATGAGAACGATTAATGACAGAGAATTCACCTAAATCATTCTCACTCATTTGATCAAAAACTCAATATAACTTTCTCATATAGAATATATTTAAGAAAGTAATTGATAACAATAGGATCGACTTTATAAAACGACACTACTTATAAATGACCAAACTTTAGTAGATTTTCGAAGAAAACGATGTATTTCTTAGGATGTCTGCTTCAAACGTTTTCACGAAGAAATACAAATTTTAATTAACATGGCTGCATCACATTTGTAGTCCTGTAAATCATTAAAATCATCGATATTCATGAACAGTTACAATTCTTGAGAACAGCTGGATTACGATATCATCTTATAATTATTCTAGTTAATTCACTGGGTATATCGTTAATCTAATCATCATATTCAAAAAAGCGTTTAACCTAACAACATCGTGTTTCACTTTAGATTGACGTTTTTTGCACAAAAACAGATTATCTTCAGCAAGAATGATGCGTCCGAGTGATTTTTCTTTAACGCTTACTTGCGTTGTTTTTACAACCTCAGGTAGAGAAAGTCATCCGCTTGAAATGTGTCCAGTCCCGGTTGTCTTGTACTGTGACTATTGTTTAGACCCTGGTTTCTGTAGATTGTCAATTGTCTCATTATGGCTTACAAAGCGTATGATAAATGTTTGCAGATAGTTTATTTTCTACTGTATACTAAATTACGTATTTATAAGTTATCAAAGTAACCATAATTCACAGCTGAACGTAAACAATGAATATAAAGTGGAATATTATTACTAACCTACGCCTGTTACTCCTCGTGAAGGAACATAGGCCGCTCACCAGCATTCGCCGTCCAACCCTGCCCTGGGCAATCCCTTCGAGCTCCTTCCAGTTGTTATTCATCCTTTCCATATCTGCTTTTATTTCCCGACGTAATGTGTTCTTTGGCCTTCCTCTGTTCCACCTTCCTTCAGGATTCCAAGTTAGGGATTGTCTCGTGATGCAGTTTGACGATTTGCGTAATGTATGTCCTATTCATTTCCATCTTCTTTTCCTAATTACCTCTTCAGCTGGAAGCTGGTTTGTTCTCTCCCGGAGAAGGCTGCTGCTGATGGTATCCGGCCAATGGATGCTGAGTATCTTGCGTAGACAGCTATTTATAAACACTTGCACCTTCTTGATGATGGTTGTTGTAGTTCTTCAAGTTTCAGCTCCGTACAGTAGAACTGTCTTGACATTCGTATTGAAGATTCTCACTTTGATATTGGTTGAAAGTTGTTTTGAGTTCCATATGTTCTTCAAGTGAAGGAATGCGGCCCTTGCTTTGCCAATCCTCACCTTTACGTATGCAACTGATCCTCCTTGTTCATCGATTATGCTTACCAGGTATGTGAAGGATTCTACATCTTCCAGAGTTTCGCCATCAAGAGTGATTGGGTTGCTGTTGTCCGTGTTGAATTTGAGGACCTTGGTTTTCCCCTTGTGTATGTTGAGGCCTACTGATGCAGAGACTGCTGCTACACTAGCTGTCTTCATCTGCATTTGTTCATGTGTATGCGATAGGAGGGCTAGGTCATCTTCAAAGTCCAAATCGTCTAACTGGTTCTGAGCTGTCCATTGTATTCCGTGTTTTCCCCCAGATATCGAGGTCTTCATAATCCAGTCGACTACCAGAAGAAAGAGGAAGGGAGAGAGTGGACAGCCTTGTCTGACTCCGGTTCTTACTTGGAATGCATTTGTTAGCTGTCCTTCATGCACGACCTTGTACTGTAGTCCGTCGTACTAGTCCCAGATGATGTTAACAATCTTCTCAGGAACTCCATAGTGTCGAAGGAGTTTCCATAACGTTCTCCTATCCACACTGTCGAATGCCTTTTCATAATCAATGAAGTTGATGTACAGTGACGAGTTCCACTCAACTGATTGTTCGACGATGATCCGTAGTGTCACAATTTGGTCTGTGCACGACCGATCCTTACGGATTCCAGCTTGTTGATCTCGAAGTTGAGCGTCTACTGCATCCTTCATCCGGTTCAGCAAAACTGTGTTAAAGACTTTTCCTGGTACTGACAGTAGTGTGATTCCTTTGTAGTTTTCATATTTGCTCAGGTTTCCTTTTGGAATCTTGATGAGGTGTCCTTCTTTCCAGTCCATCGGCACTTGTTCCTCCTCCGAAATCTTTTGAATGGAAGGTAAAGCATGTTTGTAGTTACTTCGATGTCTGACTTCAGTGCTTCGGCTGGTATATTGTCGGGTCCTGTTGCTTTCCCGCTCTTGATTTGTCTGATGGCCATTCTGATTTCTTCTGTCTTTGGTGGATCGACATCTATAGAAAGATTTGTGTGTGTTGCTTCGATGTCCGGGGGATTCATTGGAGCTGGCCCATTCAGGAGTTCCTCAAAGTACTCTACCCATCTGTTCCGCTGTTGTCGAATTTCAGTGATTAGCCTGTCTTCTTTGTCCTTGACCAGTCTCTCTGGTTTACTGTATTTCCCTGCTAGTTTCTTCGTTGTATCATAAAGCGGTTTCATATTTCCTTCTCTAGGAGCTTTTTCTGCCGTCGTTGCCAGTTCTTCCACGTATTTCTTCTTGTCGGCTCCAATGCTCCTCTTCACTTGCTTGTTTGCTTCTGTGTATTCAGCTTGTACTTGGACTTTCTCTACTCGTGTTCGGCTGTTGTTTCTTACTGCCTTCTTGTTCTTCTTTTCTTTGATCTTGTCCAGAGTTTCTATAGAGATCCATTCCTTATGATGGTGTTTCTTTAGGCCCAGAACCTCTTGACGCGTTGAAGTTAATGCTTCTTTGATACCTTTCCAGTTGTCCTCTATAGTAGTGGATAGACATCTAAAGTCTTGCAAACTCTTGGCAGGTGTTATCTTATCAAATACTAACCATCCTTCATTCATATCTTTCTATTTGTATACATTCTGGTAGAACGAGACGTAAATACATTAAAATCCATACACGCAATCGAAGGTATAAAAGCTCTATAATACCTTACCTCGCAAATATACTCTGTGTATACCGTATAAAATTTTTATCAGTTCTACAGTCACTTGTAATGATGTCCCAAGGATTGTTAGTCTGTCCAACCAACCAAAATCATTTTAAGTTTCAAAAAGTTATATTTTCTATGCTGTCCTCTCAACATGAATTTAAAACACACTTTAAAGTTACATTTCTAGTTTCAGAAACCCACTAGAAAATTCAGTGTACAGTTAATGCTGTCTCTCACTTATAACTTCTGAATCTCTCAACCACATTGATACACCCTTATTGGAAGTGATATATCAATACCAAGGACGAATTATTATTCTTAACTACGATCAGTTCACTTGATACCCAATCCTTGAATGAATTTTATTTGATAAATTTACAGAGGTTTCAAAATAAAAAAGTTGTTCCATAAAACATTTCACTACATGAAAGATCAACTCTTAATAGCCTTCAGTATCTTTTCCGATGACTATGTACTGTCTAGATTTTCATTAACATTTTCTAAGGCTCAACAGTCATGGAATATATGTGCAATTGTTTAAACGATAAAAGCTATTATAGCTCGGGTCCTGATAAGTCCACTTATTTATTTAAAAGACAGAATTCGAAATAATATTGCTATCTTAATTTCATTCAAGTTGAAAACTTGTCACTTTGTTTTTAGTCGACAGTTAATTTAATTTTTATAGTTGAGATCATGAGCCAGTTGAAGCTAGACCACCATGGAAAACCAAGAAGCACTGGACGGCCATTTCGTCCTATTGTGGGACTCCTCAACAATGCACACCTACGACCTCGCCTCGCGAGATTCGAACCCAGGACCTATCAGTCTCGCGCGCGAGCGCTTAGCCTCTAGACCACTGAGCCGGTCGGCATCCAACGGTGTTAATGTCTAACTTCAACTAATCCACCAAAGTGAGCGACACATCCACCATCGTCTTCAGTGAGTTACTGTCTCACAACAGACCCGGTTGAACTCCCACAGTATAACGAAACGGCCGTCCAGTGCTTCCAGGTTTTCCATAGTGGTCTAGCTTCAATCGACTCATGATTTCAACTATTAAAATTACTTTAATATCCACAAAACCGCTTCTGAAGTTAATGTCCAAAATGATATTCCTGAGTTTAGCGAAAATTTTCAAACTATGATCTTTCAGAACAAAAATATTTAACCTGATAGTGGTGCTACCATAAAATATCACATTGGTTAGTGAATTCAATTATCTTCACGGAACAGCCCAAAGAGACACTCGCTATGAAAACTCTTAGTGCCAAACCCATCACAACTTCATTAGTTTACATCTAAAAACAGTTATTGAACACTTTTGTGTAAAATACTAACTGCCTTCGTTTCGTTTAGTAAATGTCATTGTCTATTGACAAAGCATATAATAGATAAAATACACCAAGTATATAACACTGAACTTATCTGAGACGCCGACGTGCGGCTCCCCTAGGGACTAATAAATGACATATTTCAAGCTGAGAATGGCAAGCTTATTCCAGGTCTTCGCCGATCCTCGATCCAAACACCTGAGCGAATTCCATTTAAGAGATTCGTCCCCAGTCTCTGTTCAGTGATATTTTCAGCATAGACTGATGATTCTGTTTTTCTAATATTTCGAACTAATTTGTAAGTTTGGCACAACTTTTCACAGTACTTGAATTATTGGAACTAGTGTCGGCTTGTGATGATAATGGTAGTATGAATAGTGTTACAATTTTTTTCACTTACATAGACATAAATTGTTCTATTATGTTCTATGCACGTAAGATATATGATAAAACAGACATCTTTCTGGTTATACGTTGCACAAATAACCCCCGATTTTTTAATGCTTAAACCATGTCTCGA